GATTACATTATGGCTCACTCTTGGTGGTGTACATTTTCTGTTTTGGACTAATGTATAATGACATGTATCCACCATTACGGACTTCCCTGGTGGCTCAGTGGTAAAGAACCCACTTGCTGATGCAGGAGACATAGGCTCAATCCCTGAGTCGGGAAGATCCCTGAAGAAACGGCAACCCACTCCAGTATTCTTGCCTGGAAAATCTCATGGACAGAGGAGCCTCGTGGGCTATAGTCCATAGCGTGGCGAAAGATTTGGATGTAACTTGGCGAGTTAACAACCATTATAGTATCATACAAAAATCCTCTGTGCTCCAATTCGTCCCATCTCCCCACCCTCAGTCTCTAATAACCACTGATCTTTTGACTGTCTCCATGGTGTTGCCTTTTCCAGAACGTTATATAGTTGGAACCACACAGTATGTAGTCTTTTCAGATTGACTTTTTTCACTTAGAACTATGTATTTAAGATTCCCTCCATGTCTTTCCATAGCTTGATAGCTCACTTCCTTTTAGCACCCATTGTCTGAATGTACTACAGCTTATTTATCCATTCATCTATTGAAGGACATTTTGGTTGCTTTCCAGTTCTGGCAATTATAAATAAAACTGCTATAAACATCTATGTGCAGTTTTTGTGTTGACATAGGTTTTCAACTCCTTTGGGTGTTTAAAGTGATCCTTTGGGCGGTTACTGGTTCTTATGGTAAGAGTATGTTTACATTTGTAGAAAAGAAGGAAAGTGAAGTCGCTCAGTGGTGTCTGACTCTTTGCTATCCCATGGACTGTAGTCTACCAGGCTTTTCTGTCCATGGGATTTTCCAGCTAAGAGTACTGGAGTGGGTTGCCATTTCCTTCTCCAGGGGATCTTCCTGATCCAGGGGTCGAACCCAGGTCTCCTGCATTGCAGGCAGACGCTTTACCCTCTGAGCCACCGGGGAAGCCCAAAGAAATCATCAAATTGTCTTCTACAGTGGCGGTACCATTTCACATCCCAGCAATGCTTAAGAGTTCCCATTGCTCCATATTCTTGTCAGTATTTCTTGTTGTCAATGTTCTAGATCTGGTGCATTCTAATAGATATCTAGTGGAATCTCACTGTTGTTTTAATTTGCATTTCCCTGATGACATATGATGTGGACCATCACTTCATACATTTGTAATCTGTATATCTTTTTAGGTGAGGTGTTTTCTTTGACCCAGAAAGATCGTTGACTCGTTTTTTAAAATTGGGTTGTTTTCTTGAGTTTTTTTTGTATATTTTGAATAACAGTCCTTTATTAGATGGGTCTTTTGCAGATATCTCCCCTCTCTCTGTGGTTTATGTTCTCCTTCCCTTGACATTGTCTTCCCAGAGCAGTTTTTTCATTTCAATGATACCGAGTTTATCAATTATTTCCTTCATGGATCCCACCTTTGCTGTTGCATCTAGAAAGTCATCATTGTCACATACAAAGTCATCTGGCTTTTCCCCTACATTATCTTCTAGGAGTTTTATGGTTTTGTGCTTTACATTTAAGTGTATGATTCATTTTGAGTTAATTTTTGTGAACTGTATAAGAACTGTGTCTAAATTCTTTTTTGCATGTGGATGTCCAGTTGTTTTAGCACCATTTGTTGAAAAGACTATCTTTGTTCTATAGAATTGCTTTTGCTCTGTTGTCAAAGATCAGTAGACTGTATTTATGTGGGTCTATTTCTCAGCTCTCTATTCTGTTCCATTGACATGTCCATTCTTTTGCCAGTACTACACTGTCTTGATTGCTGTGGCTTTATAATGAGGTTTGAAGTCTGGTAGTGTCAGTCTTCCAACATTGTTCTCAACACCGTTTTGGCTATTCTGATCTTTTGACTCTCCATACTTTAGATTCAGCTTGTTGATATGCACACAATAACTTGCTGAGATTTTGATTGGGACTGCATTGAATCTATAGATCAAGTTGGGCAGAACTGACATCTTGACAATATTAAGTCTTGAAACATTTACTTTTCATTCAACCAACATCTCATTCATCTAAAGAACAAAAATCTGTTCATCACAGGGTTATTTGAAATATTTTTCATAGATTAATTATCTAGAGACTATGAACCCTGTGACAATGTCCCTGCTCTCAAGTTCATCTCTAAGTGGGAACAGGGCAGACAATAAACAAGCATACAAATACATTAATAATTTCAGGTAATGGTTGTGAAAAAGGCATGTGATAAAGAGTGACAGGCAGTGAAAGAGCTACTTAATGTCAGGGAATTTCTCTAAGGAGGCAACATTTGGGCTAAGACCTTCATGAAAACAGAGAGCGGGCCATGAGAAAGATTTTTTAATTTTTATTTACCTTTATTATTACTATTATCATTACTTTTTGGCTGAGCCACATGGTTTGTGGGATCTTGGTTCCCTGACTAGGGACTGAATTTGCCCCTATGGCAGTGAAAGCACTGCGTTTTAACTGGTGGATCGTCACGGAATTCCGAGAAAAAGTTTTAGACGGAGAGAACAATGGAGATGAAGGCTCTGAAAGCAGAAGTGATGGATGTTTTGGAGAAGAGCGAGGTGGCTATAGTATAGTGAAGGAGAGGTATGTGAGGTTAAAAAAAATAGAAGGGATCATATCCTGTAGGGTTATTTTATTGAAAAAGAAAGTAAAAAATACATGTTGTGGGATATATACTACGTACAATTTTAAAAATGATTTTATTTTTGGCTGTGCTGGGTCTTTGTTGCTGTGCAGACTTTTCTCTGGTCGTGGTGAGTGGGGGATACTCTGCAGTTGGCAGTGTACAGGCTTCTCCGTGCGGTGCCTCTCAGGCACGTGGGCTCCGTAATTGTGGCTCCCAGCCTCTAGAGCAAAGGCTCAATACTTGTGGCCCATGAGCTTTGTTGCTCCACGGTATGTGGGATCTTCCTCGATCCTCGATTTGAACCCCTGTCTCCTGCGTTGGCAAGTGGATTCTTTTTTTTTTTCCATTTATTTTTATTAGTTGGAGGCTAATTACTTTACATCATTACAGTAGTTTTTGTCATACGGCAAGTGGATTCTTTACCCCTGAACCAGCAGGGATGCCCTATTTTTTTTTTTTTAGATACAACTTTTAAGATTTATTTATTTTTGGCTGTGCTGGGTCTTCGTTGCTGCAAGAGAGCTTTCTCCAGTTTCAGTGAGGGGGCTGCTCACTAGTGGTGGTGCTCATGCTTCTCATTGTGTGGTTTCTCTTGTTACTTTGGGCTTCAGGAGCTGTGGTTCATGGGTTCTGGAGAACTGTCTCAGTTCTGGTACGTGGGTTTAGTTGCAAGTATACAATTTTTACATGAACATTTCAGTGAATGTTTACATCTGTATACACCCATGGATGTGACCTTATCTAGACTGAGATATAAAACAGGAGTCAGCAAACATTTTTGGTAAGGTGCCAGACAGAAAATAGTTTAGGCTTTGTAGGCCTATGGTCGCTGCTTAGCTCCACTATTATAGGAAGGCAGCCCTAGTTGCTATGTAATGAACAGGCATGGTCTGATTCCCATAAATCTTTAGTTACAGACACTGAAATTTCAATTACATGTAATTTTAACATATCACAAAATATTTTCCTTCTTTTTTCTTCAACCATTTGAAAATATAAGCCTTTCCGAGGACTTCCCTGGTGGTCTGGTGGTTAAAAATCCATCTTCCAAAAAAAAAAAAAAAAAGAAATCCATCTGCCAACACAGGGGACATGGGTGCAATCCCTGGTGCAGAAAGATCCCAAACTCTGCGGAGCAACTAAGCCTATGCACCACAACTACTGAGCAACTACTGAAGCGTGAGAACGTGGAGCCCATGTTCTGCAACCAGAGAAGCTTCCACAATAAGAAGTCCACAAAGTGCAATGAAAAGTAGCCTCTGCTTGCCACAACTAGAGAAAGCCCTCACAGCAATGGAGACCCAGTGCAGCCAAAAATAAAAATATTAAAAAAAAACAAAAACACTTAGCTTGTCGGCTGTACAAAAAACAGGTGGTGTGCAGGACCTGCTCTTCGGGCCATAGTTTACCAACCTCAGATACATTTCCAGTATCCCCTTTGTGCATCTTTCCAGTTAAAACCCTTCTCCCTCACTTGTTATTGTTCTGATTTTTGTTAATTTTTGCTGCTGTTAAACTTTACATAATCTGAATCACATGTATTTATTCTTCAGCTCCACATAATGTCTGTCCTATAGGAATGTTAAGCCATGATACATAATTTTCATGTAAGAGGACTAGGATGCCATTTGGGGATTTGAAGTGTGACAGCATCACGATCTGATATATATGAAAAGGTCACTCTGGTTGCTGTGTGGAGAACAGAGTAAAGGAAAACAGGAGTGGAACTGGGAGGCCCAGTCAGGAGCAATCCAAGCCAAGAGATGATGGCGGCTGGACCACAGTTAGTCATGGAAATAGAAGACAAATTTTAGACTTGAGCTCACATAACCAATATTAGTTATTTATTTTTTTAATAAGGTGTAATAATACTGATAAATTTCCTGAATAATCTTTCTAAGACTGGCATCGAGAATTGTCATATATAAACTGTGGCCCTACCTTCAAGGGGTTAACAACAGTTTTGGGGGTGGGGTGCACAGACTGTGAATCCAGATACAATTCAATCAGTGTTTTAAGAAGTCCAGGAGGCTGTGGGAACCAGAAGGGGTATTAAACCAGCCTGAGGGTGATCAAGAGAGATCACCTGGGGGTTGTGGCCTTTGAGCTAAATTCTGAAGGAAGAGTCTTGAAAAAGGATTTAAAAAAATTATATGGCAAGGGTAAGAAATCTGAGACTCTTGGAAGCTCAGTACAGTTCTGTGATGGTGTCTCAGAGAATATGTAATCTTGGCTTAGAAAAAAACACTTTGAACTGGGTCTAAATAGATGGGCATTTATCTACATTTCCAATCAATCAATCCTGTATGCTTCTGTGTGCCCTGAGGCTCCAGCAAAGAACAGAGGTAGCAAACTGACAGCCTGAATCTGATGTATTTTGGCCTACATTCCTGTAGGGAGACCACATGAACAGTGGCTTGAACAGTGGTTATTACTTTTGGACAGAGCATATGGTCTCCTGTTCCTGGCATTCCTCATTTGCTCTCTTTGCTTTTACATTACCTTCTTGGCCCTCCTAGGTTTTTGTTTTCAACCCATGGTCTTTACTGTAAGAAAAACAGTACTTAAAATCACTTACACAAACAGAATCATCAGCTCTTCGAGTAGAATGGGGAAGAGCTAAACTGAGTGAATGAAGAGAAGTTGAATGAGAGCTTTACCCTGGATTTCTAACCTGGCTCCTAGGGTAGGCTTTAGGTGGTAAATTTTGTGACAGTTTGTATCCTTGTGACTTAGGCTGGTTGGCTATGAATCTTGGTTTTGGGCTCTGTCACTGATTAATCTCTATCAGCCTCAAATAATTTGTTAAATGGAGCACTGTTGCGATTAAAAGAATCAGGGCACAAAAGTGACCTCAGTTAAGGTCCTGTTATTATATTCCAGGGTGAGGATATCAGATTCTCAAAGGGGGTACTTAACCTAGAAAGTTGCTAAACAGTTGGTATAAATGCTTAGGAGTTATTGGGAATGCTATCATAAAGAAGGCTGAGCTGAAGAATTGATGCTTTTGTATTGTGGTGCCGGAGAAGACTCACGAGAGTCCCTTGGACTGCAAGGATATCAAACCAGTCAATCCTAAAGGAAATCAATGCTGAATATTGATTAGGACTGATGCTGAAGCTCCAATACTTTGGCCAACTGATGCCAAGAGCCAACTCATCAGAAAAGACCCTGATGCTGGGAAAGATTGAGGGAAGGGGGATAAGGGGGAAGACAGAGAGGATGAGATGGTTGGATCCCATCACCGACTCAATGAACATGAGTTTGAGCAAATTCTGGGAAATAGCGAAGGGCGAGGAAACCGGGCGTCCTGCAGTCCATGGGGTAGTACCGAGTCGGTCACAACTTAAGAGACTAAACAACAACCCTTGTGTAAAATGAAGCAGGTCTACATAAGTGGACTGCCATATGAATCCAGAGGCCCATGCTCCACTGCTAACTAGCTAAAAGTACCTGAGAAACTGCTTCAGCACTCCAGGTGATCTATTAAAGTGGGGCGGACTCCTCCGAGTTGGCAGCCGCAATGCAGCTCCAGCAGCAGGTTCCGTAGTGAATAAAAACGCTCCGTCGCGGGCAAGCGCTGTCTCCGCGCGGACTACATCTCCCAGCCGGCCTTGCGCTTCGGGCAGCGCCCTACGCTAGCACGCGAGCTTCCTCGCTCCCCCAACCTCCAGTTACTGTTTCTCGCGAGAGGACGGGCCGCGCCGGCGGTAGCGATAGTGAGCTGTGGTGGTGGCGGTGGTGTTGGTGGTGGCGGCCGAGACGGCGGCGGCCATTTTGGTGAGGCCTCGGAAGCGGCGGCGGCGGTTCGCTGCGAGTAGCGTCTTCCACTTTCCCCACCGCCCGCCCGCATCACTGTGCCGCGAGAGGAAGCAGTGGAAGCAAGGCGGTGGTAGTAGCCGCGGGCCCCAAGGGAATTTAAAGGCCGCGAAGGCGGCGGCCAAGAGGGGGCCCTCCCCCCTCCTCGGCGGGAGGGGGGGTGGTGCGCACGCCCCCGAGGACGCAGGTAAGGAGAGGGAGACAAGATGGCGGACGCCTCACAGTTCCCCCTCCCCTGACGGTGACTGCGCGCGCATCTTTCCGCCACCGCCTCCCCTCCCACCTTCCCGGGATGCTGCGCGCGCACCTTCGGCCGGGGCCCCGGGGCCGGTGCGCGAGGCTGTCGGCGCGCGCCCATAGAGACAGGTTCAGGGGGGCCAGGCTGGCCGGCGCTGGGCCCGGGCGCGTCTCCTCTCCTCTCCCTCCGGTCTGCGCACGCGTGCCTGAGCGAGCGAGCGAGCCCTGAGAGGACGGACCCAGGTGCGCTCCTGCCCGCCCACCAACCCCAGCCCCCTCTCAGGGGCGCGCGGGAAGAAGAAGGGGGGCGTGGGGCGAGTAGTCGGGGCGCGCGCCCACCATATCCAGTCAGGAGCTAGGACCTGGCGGCACTAGCCCTCCCTTATCTCAGCTTTTCGCGGTCTGTTGGTGGTGGGGGGGTTGCTCCCTGACCGGCAGGGATGAAAGACTCCCTAGCCTTGCGACCCTTGTGTGCGTGGGTTTGGGTTCTGGCGGGAGCCCCCGGGCGGTGCGCGCAGCCGGCTCTCTCCGCCTCCAGGCGCGCACGCGCGGGCCCCTCCCCCAGTCGCTCACGTTGGGTGGGGTGGGAGTCTAGAAGGGGGCGGGGCCACCTTAGGGCTAGTGGCAAGTTGGGGCAGAGGTCAGGGGTCACGCTGGGTCAGGCTGTTGGGACGCGTTGGGAGACGGTAATGAAGCCGGGGATCGAGAGTTCATAGTTCTTGATTCTGATTGTTAGCGCGATTCCAGTGACTTGTGGAAGAGGGAGTGAATCAAAGGCTGCGCCGTGGTTAAGGAATTTCCTTAAACACTGGGGAAACACTTCCGGGCCCTTTGTGGGTTTACCCTGCCTATTTCCGGGGTATGGCTCTTTGCCTTTAGGCCTTCCTCACCTCTGAGTGCTAGTCTAAGGTAGCTCTGGTTCTGGTGTTTGAGGAAGTGTCTTACGGGGCAGGTGTAGGAGTCGAAGGGCTCCCTTGAGGAAGGGTGGATTCTCCTGTGTTCAGCCCTCACTGGAAAGGAGAGCAGGCTGCCAGGCAGCCAGCACCTTTTGAGCTTCTGGATGTGACAGCTTTTTTGGCTTTGTTAATTTCAGCGGTTGGAGTCTTTTACCCTTCAGCTTTTTAAACTTGTTGTCAAGGCTTCACTTGCCTGCTTCTCCTCCCCAGCCAGAATCTCATATCCCTAGGAAATTCTGTTTTCACAGCACATGGTTTGTTTTTATTTTTTGGAAATGTGATCTTGTTATACTATTGTAATTCTCTTCAGCCTTTTAACTGATTTGGGTTTATTAAAAAACTTCAAAAGTTGGTGTAAAGAAGGCTTTGATGGGTGTTGGTAGATATGAATTAGTTCCTCACTGCTGTTTTCCTCCCTGTTTGTTTCAGCCGTGATTCCCCTCAGTACGGCGGCATCGTGGAAGTGCAGACTTTCACAGGGGGTGTGGTCTCAGCTCACACAGGTGAGGGCTCAAATACCGCTTCAACTACTGATGCTAATGGAGAGATGTTTAAGATAATGATTGTGGTGCAACACAGTACTGGGTCTATGGATAGAGAAAGGTCTGTTCAAGTCAAGGCATTTCTGTTTGACCATGACACTGCTGTAGAATCATAACCTGTTAACCAGTGTATTACTTCCTACCTATGAAACTATTTTGAAAGGAAAATTCTTTTCTAGTTATCCAGTCTTGTAATTAAATAATTTTGAATAGCAAAAAGAAAAAAAAGAAAGATCTGTTCAGCCTGCCTCCACCAGGGAGAGTAGCACATTCTTTGGTTTTGACATCAGACTGTCTTAGTCTGTTCTTCTTCTCCTACTTCTTTACTGTGTGACCTTGTGCAAGTCATTTGATGTATTTGCATTCGGATTTCCTAACTTATAAAATGAAAGAAATACTAGAATGTAAGCTCCATTTAGGTCAGCCATCTTTTCTGCGTAGCTCTTTTTTCAACATGTAGAAGGAACTGAATAAACATTTATCGTGGCTTGAAAAATATCTGGTTTATGAGAAAGATGTGAGAATTATAGAACACATGAAGTAAGTACTAAGTAAAGAATTTGACACATAATAGATGCTCAAGAAACTTAAGTTGTAATCACTGTTCAGTTAACTTTATTTGTTAGTGTTATTCCTGGGTTTTAAAAAGATTCTTGTAATCTTTCTAAATCCATTTTCTACTGTTTTTACCCTACTTTAGGTGCTCCAGAGGCCGGTGGACCTGAGCGGAGGCTGGGACGCCCTAGTGGGCCCCGGGCCCTGGAAGGCGGGTCCCGGTGGCCGGTGGCCCAGAATGAGGCCAGCTCCCAGCATGCCCTGCAGCCGGACGCCAGCCCCTCGGCCAGCAGCAGTGGTGACAACGACCCAGTCGTTCTTCAGGCATCCAAAGAGGAGCCTGGGAGTGGGACCATGCAGAGCTGCCCCTCCCCTGCTCACCCTCAGCTCCCAATCTTGCAAACACAGGTTCGAAAGTGGGAAAGGTTCCTTCTCTGCTGCTGCTTTGGGCTGCTGGCTTTGAGGCAGAAGGAATGTGGCAGGTTTTAGCCATGTTTCCACGATCCTAGCTAGCTTGGTTGCTGAGTTTGGAGAGTTTTCGATACTCAGGTGGGCTGTCAAGCCTGTTGGATACACATATTCTACTTGACATTAATGTTATGTTGATCTCCAAGAGCATGGAAACCCCTTATTACCTGCAAAAGTTGGAATTAGACCAGGTTGGAAATGAGTTTTGTGACAAAATGCTTTCAAGACTGTGTGCTTTGAGAATAGCTCAATTTCTTTTGGAACTGAAAGGAGGTAAGCTTTATAGATGGGGTGTATTCATCTTTTTTTATATTGAGGGAGTGTTGGAGATTGGGGAAAAAAATCATGACTTTATTTATTTTTAATCATGACTTTTAAAACTGGACAGACCTAGATTTCTATACAGTAGACTTTTGATGGTTATGGGTTTGATATTTGTAATTTGCCTGGGAAATTGTGTGATGTAATGTCCTTCATAATTCAGTTGAGGTAGGAATTTGAGTGGCATACTGTGAAGCTTGTGTGCCAGAGAGAATTTCATGAGTTCCCTCATCCGCAATTAAGTCGGACTTTGTTTTCTATTTATTATTGTTTGTGCAGTACCTTGTAATAGGTAGATGTTTGAGAACAGTGACCAACCTTCCCTTTCCCTTCCCACCTCTCCAGTAAAGGAAACCTTAACAAGGCTAGTGATGAACATATAGAGGTTTGGATGATTTGGGGCTTTTTTGTCACCTTTTAAATTTGGTGGTAGCTCAGATTTATTTGCATGGATGAATCTGCCATACTTGCTGTGAAAAGGAGGGAAAAATAGGGAGTTTATTTGAGTGAACTCTTGGAGGTTCTGAAAAAATCATTAAGATTTGAAGTCATAAAAAAAAGATTTGACGTCATGTGCTATCTTAGTGTTTTTGAATTGGGGAATTATGTAAATGTCAGGCTATAATTCCTCTTGCATGATGAGTGTTTACTGGAAAGTTGGCTTCACCATCTTGAATACCTTATTAAAACTATTCCAAATGCTGTGTTTATAAAAATGAGGTTGATAACCTACTCCAGAGTTTTTTCATGGGAAGATAGAATGAAGTAATGTACTTAAAACTCCTTAGAGTGCTACTAAGCATTCATTTTATCTCTCATTTTTGTCTTTTCTAGATGGTGTCGGACGGCATGACAGGCAGCAATCCCGTGTCCCCTGCCTCATCCAGTTCCCCAGCCTCTAGTGGGGCAGGTGGCATCTCCCCCCAGCATATAGCTCAAGATTCCTCTTTGGATGGACCTCCAGGGCCCCCAGATGGTGCCACAGTGCCCTTGGAGGGGCTCAGCTTACCCCAGCCTGCTGACCTGGCTAACAGGGGCCCAAAGTGGGAGAAGAGCCATGCTGAAATTGCAGAGCAGGCCAAGCATGTACGTATTAGAAATGCCCGTGAAGCTTCTTGGGAGTCTTCTTCCCTGAACTCCTGTGTCCCATGAGTACTTAACACTTCTTTCCTTGTCTTTGATTTGGAATATAGGCTCTGCTTTGACTTACATGATTTTGAGCAAGTTGCTTGAACTTTGAGCCTCATTTTCTTTTCTGTAAAATAAGGATGGTGTAATAGCCAGTGGGCTACTTAAGTTTATTTATTTCTTTTTTTACATTCTGCTCAATTATATATGTGTGTGTGTGTGTGTGTGTGTGTGTGTGTGTGTGTTCCATTTATTTTTATTACTTGGAGGTTAATTACAGTATTGTAGTGGTTTTTGCCATACATTGACATCAATTAGCCATAGATTTACATGTGTTCCCCATCCTGAACCCTCCTCCCACCTCCCTCCCCATTACTTAAAAGTTTGAATTGGCACTTCGCTGGTGGTCCAGTGGCTAAGATTCCAAGCTTCCAGTGCAGAGGGTGATCCCTGGTCAGGAAACTTATTTCCCATATGCTGCATAGCCAAATTAAAAAAAAAGACTCCATGCTCCTTGTGGGGGGTCCAAGTTTGATCCCTGCTCGGGGAACTAGGTCCCACATACCACAACTAAAGATCCTGCATGTGGCAAGTGAGACCCAGTGCAGCCAAGTAAATAAAATAAAAGTGATTTAAAAAAAAAGGAGTTAAAGGAGAAAGTAAGACATGAAAGTGCTTTGTAAGCTAAAAAAAAATTTAGCTAGTTTCTAAAATTTACTAGTTTCTACTTTATATTTGTCTTCTATAGTCTCTGTTATACTTAGCAGAGGTAAATGTCATCTCTGGGCCAGCAGTATCAGCATTATTACCTGGGAACTTACTAGAAGTGCAAATTTTTCATACCTCT